AGCGACGGCGGCTTCGACCTGAGAGATGGAGACAATCGTCGGGGGAGCAGCCGCCGACCTGTCCATGCCGTCCACTGCGGCGGGGTATTCAAAGGGTGCTGCAGGTACCACTTTGGATTCACGGTTCACGACCAGAAGAGTCGGGAAGGGAGAGACTTCGGCCGTCGCTGGCAAGTGTTGGGGGACGGGCTTGCGTCGTTGGGCCGGGATAGGCTTTCGTCCGTTAGGAAGGTGGCTGTTGGAACCTGCGTAGGAGCCGGAAGAGGCGGGGTAGCCGTTCCCGTTGTTTGGTGGGTAGTTGTTGAAGCTCGCGGCGGTCATGCTGGACGAGGTTGATGATGGTGGAAGTGCGGCGGTGGCAGAGTGCGATCTGCTAACACCAGTTGCCCCTCCTTGTCCACCTGCACTCCAGGAGCCGGCGTGGTGATGTACTTTGTACCCGCCACCCCATGCGTTCGGGCCTTGAGAGTAGGAAGGTCCATACGTGGGTTGACTGTGGTGATGTTGGTGGTGATGAGAAGGATGATAACCGAGTGGCTTTTCCGACAGGGAACGGTTGAGGGAGGAGGTGGTTGTCATAGGAGAAAAGGCGGTGGTATTGGCATGCGAACTGTGAGAGGTTGGGCTGGAGAGGGCCGTGCTGGTGACAGAGGTGATGCTAGGTTGTCCAGCTGTATGACCTGGCGCTTGGGTATCGTTCCTGTACTTGCTCACAGGCGGTGGTACGGCCATATTCATCATCGGATTGGAGGTAGTATTGTCGGTTGTGTTGGCCGTGGGTGGTTGGGCTAGAGTAGGTTGACCATGGGACAATGAACCCGATCTCGAACGGGATCTCCTTCTGCCGTACTGGTTCTCTAGTGTGCCACTCGCACTAGCCGTGGTGCTGATACTCGGTCGAGGAGCAAGGCCGTCGCTCGTGCGAGAGATAGATCCATTTCGGTTCCGGGGGAGGAGGACACCCTCTCGTCCACTGCCACCACCACTATGAATGTCTTCGCTCATCGTTCCATCTCGGTCCCGTTCGATAGGGCGCCGGGACACAGCGCCATCCACACTGCTTCGCGCTTTGTGTCGAGCTGGCATATTCGGGGGAATACCAGCATTGACTGACGATGGACGTGGTCCTTTGGGGCGTTCAGAAGGAGGAGATGATGTTGAATGCTAAACAGATGGTGAATAGTTAGCGCCTGTGGATAGCCACATAGTAAAAATAGACGTACGCCCAAAGTTCGTTCTATTTCTGCTCGCCACGCTTCGACATCCCAAGTTTCGCGATCATCAGGCGTCTGCAACGAGTTTTCGTCAACTCTTTTACTCTCTATGAAACCGTGAATTAAACCCTACCTTGACAAATGTGTTCCCGATACCCAAATGAGCCTCGTGTCGGAAGCCTTCGGGAGCACCAATGATACCCTTACTAACTCTCCGCAACTTTTTCGAAGTATCGGTCCCACTGC